AAATTTAAATATAAAATCATCTCCTTTAAACAAGTAAACACTTAATATAAATGTTTCTGTGTTTTTTCCCGTGTAATAAACGAGTTACACTGCATTCTCTGGTGGGAAGCAGAAATGTGGGATAGTTCGCGGTATGGATAGAATGCGGCGTATGCAGCTCGCGCTAGAAAATGTAATTTTAGGATTGTAACGCGGCCACTAAAATTATACTTTTTTAAATCCCACTATTTGACGCAATAATTTATATCAGTAATTGTTTCTTTATACGTATCATTAGACCTTAGTCGTACTCTAAAACAGTGCGATACGCCCCGTTATTTTCTACCTGCGCGGCAGAAGAAGTGTCCGGTGCAGTATTACCGTGAGTAATTACTAAATTTGCATTCTTTCATTTGCGCGAGCGGGAATCGCATCGTCATGCAAAACGAATAAGTGAAAAATAGAATGTCGTGTGATATAATCAAGAGAGACATTTTTCTCTTTCGCATTTAGCATTAACGATACGCGCAGCAAATATACTTTGAAATTTGAATTTCTTTTACATATTTTCTTGTGTATTTTTTAACAAAAAAAAGTGCATTAAATGCTATTAATTTTGAGATATTTAATATAAATAATGTGAAAAGCTATGTGGAGAATAGAATTCGAATAAATTATATCCTTGACTTAATAAGCTTGATCAAGAAATTCAGGATAAAAAATTCATTCCGAAACATCGTACATAGACTCATTATCTCCTTTACTTCATTTTAGATTTTAAAGGCTCTCGTAAAAATATAGAGACGCGTATATCGCAACTAACATCGTTAGCGAATATATACTTTCAATTTCTGACGATATTTTCCATCCGATAAAAAATTTGCGATAAGTCAGCACGTAGAGCAAACTTTGTTTCTTTACGATATTCGTGGAATGAAGATCTCTCGTCGTGACAATCATCGCGCGCGTTTTTGTCATCTCAAGACTTATGATATTACAAAGAAATTACTTCGAGTTAAAAAGTTCCGAGAAATGAAGACCACCGACGACGCGATACTTGTGATAGCAGTGACATTTAAATTTTTATCCGACTTCACGCTCCAATTAAAGAGACCATTGAAAAGAGCAATTATTATACGTAGCTGCGATTCAGTTTCTAAATAATGACCGGCTTTATCAACTTTTTCAACTTCGGTGCAACAGTTTTCTCGCGTTTTTCGCCGATCCGTTGAAGAAGGAAAGTCTAATAATGATTCCCTGAATAGGTATTGCTCGAGATGAAGAAATGGGCGTTAGGAAATAAAGGGGATAAAACGTTTTGCACACGTTGCGAGTTGCAGTGTTAGCAATATCAGCTCGGAGCGAAGAAATTTCAAGAGAGGAAGAAAAAGAAAAGAACACTCTCGGGTGACGGAATAATGGGACAATGGAGAATGGAGATGTGTGCTAACTTCGTGAATGCTTAGAGATGAATAATAACATTCTTATGCGAGGACAACAACGAAGTAAGAAGAGAAAAGAAATATGCTACAGTAAAAAATAACACTCACTATTCATTGAACGTTCGAAAAGTTATAGAAAAATAGAAAACAATAATATTCATATAATATCAATATGTATCATATTAATATATATAATATTAATATTTAATATATAATTCATATTAATATATATATAATTAATATTAATTTATAATACTACAGAATCAAGATTTTGAATAATACACGCGCTGATCTCTGTATATATTTTCCAAAAAAATAATGTTCCAACAAAAAGAAAATATATTTTAAGACAGAAACCTTTTTGTCTACAAATCCACTTCTGAATCGAGCAACCCTTGCAAGACCACGTGCAACAGACGCGATATTATCATTCCATTCGCGTTTGTTCTTGCAAAAATTCCCAACTCGCAACAGAACGCGAATGCATTGAGAGAAGAAAGAGATGCAAAGAATCCATCTAAGGGATTTACAGGATGATGCACGGTGGCTTGTTCAAATATTCCTCCGATGTATCGGATACGCGTCTGTGATACAACCTGTTCCTCACGCAGATGCACGCGCAGGATGCATCTATCGTATGATTCATGCAGCTCATGTATAGCTTTCCAACAAGCGCGACTACTATTTGGCAGGTTCTTTCCATTGACAATAGGGAGACAGAGGAATGGCTCCATCTCCGCAAGACCTTCATCTTGAAACCCCATATCGATATGTATCTTTGAATCAATTTCGAGATATCTTTGAATCATTATGCATTTGCGACTCTATTTTCGTTCTAATGTCTTTAGCTTTTGGTATGCGCATCTGTACTTTCGCTCTAAATTTTCGCGACATTTCTTCCGTCATATATGAAATTTTTGCACCTCGTGTTACTTTGATTGCGCAGACTGTTTCTGTCTTAATTCAACTTTACTAAATCTGGATTGCATAAATAAAATTTTTTATTTATTCCAAGGATAAATAGTTTACCGCGTGTCATGCTAATAATAAGCTTGACGATTTATTTAGTCCTCTGACATATTTAATATTGCTTTATCTTGAGCAAAAATGTCATATTATGATGATTTATTATAGCAATTTCCAATTATAATTATTTATCATAATAAATAGTTAATTGAACTTTTCCAAGATAAAGAAAAGTTAGCGTTAATTATAAAGAGATTGCGAATGATCGATTAAGTGTACTCTACGATTTCAAGTACTCCAAAGGGTGTAGAAGAAGCAGCTGCGCGCGATATCCGCGAACGAAAAGTATGGTCGCCTATCGCCAATAAATATCTAACATTTTCCAATATAACCCGCATGGTCGGTAGCAAGGAAGCAATCGGAAAGGATAACGGCGAATCGAAGTAATTCCAAGTTGTTCGTTCGAACGAAGAAATTATGTTATCGATGCCGTCGCATTATTTTTCCTACTCCATGATCGGATTTCGTATTATGTAACGAGAAAACAATCGACATTTTATAGTAATAACGATATCCTAAAGTTAAAAGTGAAACGATAATAATGAACCAAACTGCCCTGCAATCTCATTTTCACATAGAGAAAATTCATTGATTTAATTAAATTTTTTGGTTAATTATTCATGCATAGAATTTTTTTACAAATTCTTACATCATTTTTCATCTATCGGAATAAAATATTTTTTAAATAATAGTTAATTTTTACTTGAAAATTATATGTAATTGAGACATGCAGAAAGATAATGATATCCGCTGCAATTTGACGCGATGCTGATGTTTTCATTAATGACTGATTGCATATAAACGCCGAGATTCATTAATATTCCCGGTTGCTCATTTCTGTCGCGTGTTTTCTTCGTGCCAAAAAGACACGCTTTTTTGCACGACATACTTTTTTTCCATTTGCCTTAGGCTTAATGCACCGGATATTCTTTTCAATATTTTCTATCGCGAGTTGACACTGCAATCGCAGTGTAAAGACGGAAACGAATGAGAAACTTTTCAAGATCCGGAAGCTAATAATTTCTGATGAGTTCAGCAGAAACATGTAAATAAAAAAAAGATGTATGCACTTTTTCCTTTTATATTTTTATGACGAATCGATAATGATGATTGAACTATATATAAAAAGTGCAATCTTTCAGAAAAATTGTCGAAAATTATTCGCCGCGGCATGCTTTGACAACGAACGTTTGTTCGCCATTGAATGGCGTATTGTGTGTGAATGACGCTCAATTCTTCTCGCGTGAAAGTCGCGAGACAGGGGCGTGAAAGAGCACAGCTGTTTGCCGTGTCACGCTAATGCTCGCGGTAGGTAGAATCAGATAAAAACCAGTTAATCCATCTTGTGTCGCGCTCGTGTTGCTTACAAGCGTTAAATTACAAGATTTACGACAGCATCACGAGTGTGCATTGATTACGATAAGTTACTTTAAATCGACGGTCCAAGTTTTTGCCGACTCAGCTTTCATCTGGAGGAGAATGAGAGCTCTGCGCGTGTAATTACGGAGAGAAATGAGCGGCTCTATTATACATATTATATTATTATAAAAAGGTTACACGCGCGCGCGGTTTTTCCCGCCACTTATCGTACAAACGATGTGTATCTCACTTCTCACTCAATTATATGTGTAATATAATGTAATAGTAAAGATAAAAATTGCTCCAATTCTGAAAGTTATGCTGTGCATTAAATTACGAGTGCAATTATCGCATGAACACATAAATTGTTCGAGATTTAAATAAAATTTTTCATTTAAAGTTCTCATTGTATAGAACCTTTTCATTTTGACAAATTAATTACTATATTATTTCTGAAGGGAATTTAATCAACGACATGGTCTGTCGTAATTCTTCAATATGAAAAATTGAAATGCCGATACAATTAAATCTCAAACTAAATTTCTTTAAATTACATCCATCAATAATTAATATTATTTTAATAATTTTTACGTAAAATTTTGTTTTGAATATATTTGTGTCGAAAAAAAGATTAAGCGCTTCGCGTCAAAGCTTTTCATCCAATAATTCGTGATCGAAAAAACTACTGTTGCAGCTCCGGAATTATAATTTAGCGTAATCGGATATATGTGTAATCTATATTTGCGAATGCACCATGAGTGCACTTAAAGCGGATTTATCAAACATATCGGAGTGTTTATACGAAATGTCGCTAATTAACTGTTGCAAAATATCACAGAGAACTCTGTTTTCAGACTATAAACTCGTAGCATAGCTAATTATAATATATAAGTAACGAATTGCATAAAACTAATAAAACGAGCAACTTTTCCGAACTTCTGCGTTAACGTGAACCGTATTATGTAAAATGTCTTAAACGACGAAATTTTAAGAGCGGTTCTCTTTATTCATCAGTTTTTTTAATCAACGAGAGCAATTTGCTTTAAATGAATTTTAAGAACGGTTCCTTTTATTCATTAGTTTTTTTAAAGATGAGAGCAATTTGCCATTTAGACATCTAAATTCGCATAAATTTTTTCTCTTTCTAAAAAAAAAGAGAATAATTGTAAAAGTTGTAATTGTTGGTGGACTCACCTTTGCGAAGTCAATTTTTAGTGTGCAGCAGCCGGAGTATATGTCTGCTCCATGTAGCGTCTCTTTTGCTCTGGTTGCTGAATCCACCGAGTCGAACGTAATTATCAGAAAGATTAATTAAGGATATATTTGTGACAATTCGTGTAAAAAGAATTAAAAACATTTCACACAAAATAAAAATAATATTTAATGTATGTTATTATTGCTATACGTTTTGATTGATATGATAACGTAAGTTAGTTTGAAATTATTACGCCTTATATATTTAATAAATGCTCGTATTACTAATGTGATAGTTATTTGCATGAATAAAATAAAAATTAAGGGTGCGCGATAAATATGATGAAAAATCGCTTATCGCACGAATCAAATTGTGCGAATTGTAATTTTTGCCGAGAGTTTTATGCAATGGGAAACATGTAAAAACGTAGCATTCTGACAGCACGAAAGCTTCACAAAGTTCGCCGTAGCGTCACAATGTTATTTTCCTGCAAAGTGGCCGTCACGCGGTATAAACCGGCGATAAAACCCCGGCGTGACGCGAAGTTCTAACGAATTTATGGTCACGCGGAACGCGGCTCGACTATTATTCGGATCATAATAATCCGGAATATATTCCGCCAGGTGGATTTACCGAAAATACGACGCGCTTCGCCCGCGGCAGTAAAGCTCGAAGCGCGTTGAACGAGTTTCGCGGACGGAATTCGTGCAGCGAAAAGTCAAATCTCCGTCGAGCCTCTGTCGAATCCCCCTTATAAATCTTCATTACGGTCGTAATGGCAGCGCGTGTCTTGACAAAGTTTCCGCGGTCCGGGAAAGCGTGTCAGACGGAGACTTGATCCTCGCGGGAGCCTCGAGCTCTCTCGCCGAGCGCAATGTTACGAGGTGACCGGTGACCCTTGAACTCGCGTACTTACCGCGCAGTTGCCCCGAAGTTATCCATGCCACGTGTAAATCAAATTTCCGAGAAACGCGACGGTTTGCTCGTGTAAACCGTTTCTCGTTACTCACGTGCGCCCTCAAACTCGAAGATGTACTCCTTACTTTAAACCGGCTATTTGTTTTTTACTTAGTTCTGTAGAAATTTTGATGCAACGTTTCTTTTTTATCAATAAATATGTAAATTAAAGAAAAATTTTAAAAAATTATTTATTTGAAACTAATAATATTGTTTTGATGTGAAAAATATTTATTAGTTTAAAATAAATGATTTATTAGGCAGTATTGAGATAAATATTTATTAATTTTTTTTCAGTGTAGTAAAATGTGCAATTACGAAATTTTGAAAATTAAAATATTCCGGAAAACTTGGAAGAGCGTTAAAAGGTGATCTGTCTGTTCAATGTTTGAAAATTAAGAGCAATATATAACTCTTACTTTACTTTAAAAATATTTAGAATACGTAAACATGTTGTAAAATTGTTATGTTACCGTTTATTCCATTTTTATGGAATAAATAAAAATCTCTTGTCTAGAATAATTTTGTTGTACGTTTCGCCAAAAAGTTTACAACTTTATTAATACGAACATGCAGTATCTGCAGTCGTAAAATAACTACAACATTCTGCAAACAAGACATTAGTGGTACACTATCTTTCTTAGTGATTTACTGCGACGCGGCAACGCGAGTATCGCTGAATTTAAAGTGTTAATTTAAACAATTGAAATTTACACACGTACCTTCGGAAAGAAGAGCATTAAAACCCAAACCCCCGAAATTGCAGGCGAAATGGTCAAATAAAAACAAAAATAAAAATCAAATGTATTGTAAAGGATATTCAACCATGGCTTGCACGCCGTTTTTCTTGAAGATTACGATGCGTTGTACCTGCCCGCTGGGTGCACTGATCGTGTGCAACACTTCCTGCAACAGAAAAGAGGAATGCACTTGAACAGATGCATACGTAGATATTTTAAGACGATATTTCCGTACTTTGTTGATTTAGGTGATGGTGCATCAACTCTCGGCAAGTCTTTGAAAACCATTTGGAAATCAACATGTGTGGGAAATTAATTTTCGTTTAAATGCATCACGACATTCAAATAAAGTGATTAAGAATAAGAAGTAATGATCTGCCTCTTAAATGCTTAAAAATAAAATATATAACTCTTACTTTATTTTAAAATAGAATATACACAAACATGTTTATTCTAATTTTATGGAATAAATAAAAATTTGACCATTATACGATGCATTAGCGATTAAGAAAATCAATATATATCGTATAAAAAAATATTTTGTCAACATTTTTTTTTAAATTATTCAAACTTAGACGTATTTTCTGGTATAAAATGTTCGTTTAGGATTCTATTTCAAGTCTTACGCAGCCACCTAGCCTAATTAAATTCTCCCATTTCTTCTATATTATATATCGTTATAATTACCATGCGAAAGGAAAAGGAAATTATTGACATGCAATTTTTATTTTAAACTCCTACAATTAATTGCTTATTATTTCGAAACTGTACGTTGATATTTCTCAATATTGGAACAATTCTCTCATTCTTCTTAATCCGTCATTGAAACCTGTCATTAAGAGGAGTGGCGATAATTCTGAAGCACTTCGTACTTCCGTTAACCTATTTCTAGTACATGATCGATCGGTGCATCGTCGTATATCATGTACTGCAAATCGAATAAAGTTTACACGATGCGTTCTCCAGGGTATCCCGACATGCATGACGTATGCAAGGCGTTCGATATAAGGTCGACCGTTTACGCGCGCGCGCGATATTTGCAACAGATCTAAACAAGTTTACGTAGCGTGGATGAATTGAGACTCAAAAGTTTGGGAAACCAAGCGAGACAAGTCGCAAACTGCATTTGAACTCATCCACAAATATCGCCTCGACTAATGCATCGGCAATTCTACATTGTCTCGGTAAAAAAAGTTTGTTTTATCGTAACTACTTTTCCATTTTGAGATACACATACAGGGTTTGTCCGGAAAGTAATGCGTCGCATTTTTTTGTGACGCGACTATACATCGCAGAGCGATGGGACCGGTTGGGGAGGAAGGGGGGTACCCTTAGCTTTCCAACGGTAGGTCGCTCAATTGTTTCCATGCGCTTGGAGGGTTAGGACGGCTTATTCTGTGAACCTCTGCTTAGTGGTCGCGTCGAACTTGTGATGGAGAGAACGATAGAGCAACGCTATGCGATAAAGTTTGCGTGAAGCTGGACAAGACGCCGCTGGAAACTTTTGAAATGCTCAAGAAAGTTTTCGGGGACGATTGCCTTTCCAAATCGCAGTCAAACAGATGGCACAAGATGTTTAGAGAAGGTCGGAAGGAGGTCGCCGACGAGGCCCGCGCAGGAGCAAGTCCCGGGTGAAGTCAATGCTCATTGTTTTTTTGATGCAAAGGGGATAGTGCACCATGAATCGTACCCCCCGGCCAGACTGTCAACGCTCAATTTTACAAGGAAGTGCTTCAGAGACTGAATCACAGGATCGCCCGCGTCCGAAAGGAGATCCGCGCTTCATGGAAACTCCATCACGACAACGCGCCGGCTCACACCGCCTTTGTTATTACGGCCTACCTGACCCGGATCGGTGTGGCAACGGTGCCGCAGCCGCCCTACAGTCCTGACTTGGCCCCGGCGGACTTTTTTTTATTTCCTCGGCTGAAAAGGGAGCTCAAAGGACAACAGCTCGAGTCGGTTGACAACGTACAAGCTACTTCGACGGCCTCCCTGAACAGCATCCCAGTCAAGGAGTTCCAGAAATCTTATGACGCATGGAAATCGCGTTGGCAAAAATGTATTGACGCAGAAGGGTCATACTTCGAACAATTTTAAGTTGTTTTACCTATGCGATCAATAAATTCTTTTTTAAAAAAATGCGACGCATTACTTTCCGGACAAACCCTGTATACATACGTGCAAAATATTATCGCATAAATATTCCTACAAGTTCTTTATTCTCAAATATACACTGAAAAAATATTTGGACGCGAAATTACATGATTATGGGTTTTTATGGAAGATTATATGTAATTTCATAATATGAAATATATTATATTTTCATAATTAAAAATTTCACTGAACATGGAATTGCACAAATGTCAGTAATGTATAAAATTTTATAAATAAAATGGATAAATGCTTATAAAATAAGGTTCTAATAAAGTAAAAATATGTATTTTTACTTTAAAAAATATGGAAAAAGTTACAGTGATAATTAAGTAATTTTTCCAGTTTTGAATAAGTAATTTCCATATAAACATACATGGATTTTTTCAGTGTATAATGCGCAATTTCCTTGTCAATTCTCAAGAAAAAACCGAGTTACGTGATTCAAGATTTATGTTATAAAACTAATCATAAATATAACATGAATTTATGAAGGTAACCGTATTAAATACTGTAGATGCACTTGCGTGATGAATACTATCATTTGAGAATTAGGTTAACTAGATATTGTAACAGAGAATAGGACAAACTAAAGAGAAAGTAAGAGAATGAGAGAGAAAACAAAGTTGCAACATATCCGACTGGCATTGATTTACATTGCAATTAGCACTCTCTCTCTCTCTCTCTAATTCAATCCTTTAATTCGTAATGTCCTGTGGAACTAACAAGGATATATTTGTAGATTAACACTCTGTTGAATGTCAACAAGACATTAAATCGCGCGACGATTATTCATAAAAACGTTAAGTAATAATCTTCAATCCCTTGATGACTCAATTAATTTTCCTCGAAAAATGTCAAACTAAAATGCATACTAAATAAACACGAAGAGAAAGAGAGCGATAAATAATGAAGAAAGCTCTGGCGACGCCAGATCAAAGAAGGTGTTAAACACGTCGCGCAAATGTGCGGATGGATCGCGACTACCTTTTATTTCCAAATAGTCGATAATTGAGAACATTTAGCGGAGCAAACGCGTGTTTACCTGTCGAGATGCCAACCGGAGAAGATCTCGAATTTGCACGGCACGAGCGACGACACGACGTGGCTCGTCGCCAAATGTTGCTTCCCTGCGAATTCCCCGCGCAGCTAGACGAAAACATGCAACTAGTGAATCGCATCTAGTGAGTCACGCCGTTTATATCCGAGAAAAATACGTGTCGCGTCGCGACACTTAAATGCTGTTTCGGCGCGCGAGACAGACCGACGTATATTATCTCATGCACTGACGATTAGTCATGCAATCAGACGACTAACTGAGACGCAACGTCTGAATAAGGCTCGGAACGAGATGAAATCGAATGAATGCACAATCTCCTCTTCAAATGAATGCTTAATCCGTCGAATGTTCAAATGGTTCATTCGTTTAATTATGATGCACTTTAATTGTTTCATTGTCAGACACCAAACAATCTGTTTTGTACAATAAATTCTGTGAAATCTTCGTTACTGTCTAACAATTAAACAATAAATAATAAGTAAACAATATCTCTAAATTTTTTTGGAGTAGGATCTCATTCTAAAAAAAATTATTTCAAATTTTTTCGGTCAAAAAATTCACATGAATGATTAATCCGTCGAATGTTCATTCGTTTAATTATGATGCACTTTAATTGTTTCATTGTCAGACACCAAACAATCTGTTTTGTAAAATAAAATTCTGTGAAATCTTCGTTACTGTCTAACAATTAAACAATAAATAATAAGTAAACAATATCTCTAAATTTTTTGGAGTAGGATCTCATTCCAAAAAAATTTTATTTCAAATTCTTTCGGTCAAAAAATTCACATGAATGCTTAATCCGTCGAATGTTCATTCGTTTAATTATGATGCACTTTAATTGTTTCATTGTCAGACACCAAACAATCTGTTTTGTAAAATAAAATTCTGTGAAATCTTCGTTACTGTCTAACAATTAAACAATAAGTAATAATTAAACAATCTCTTTAAATTTCTTGGAGTAGGATCTCACTCCAAAAATTTTATTTAAAATTCATGATTCTCTCTGTCAAAAAATTCAATCTATTTTTTAATCATCTGTATAACTTTTTTCGGATGCTACATGAAATATAGTGAATTTATTATAGTTATATTCTTGTATTCGCACGATCGCGCAATTCCGGCGAAGAAAAGTTTGATTACTTTTGAATTCAATTTATTATCCAACGCGATCACAAATTGAGGGGGAGCAGAAAAATTTGATTTTTTTCAAACAGCTCGAGCCTTTTCACGACACTACTCGTCAGGCATTACAAAAGGTGAAAAACAGTCAATGGGATAATTAAATCGATTATTTCGAAAGTTAATAAAAAAAAAAAACCCCAAAAAAGAAGAAAAAAGAAACACAAGGTATACAACGCTTGATTATGTAAAGCCATCGTATTCGGTCCAGTAAATTTTTCTATACATCGTCCACCGCCGCATCCAGCGCCGTGTCGCCATGTAATATGTATGATCCGTTGCATTTCAGATTGGCTTATGAATAGGAGCGAGCGTTCGCTGGTTCGCATCGTCGCCTGGTTGCGTTTTCGGAAATTGCGCGCGCGCGCGAGACCGACACGCACGCACACACACACACTCGAATTTAATTGTCCATAGTGTCGTCCGGGTCGAGGACCCCTTTTGTGTGCCGTAACGTGCGAGATACGACGAGATCTTTCGGGCACGGTCGCGGTATAAATTCAGAAGCGGACGACACGCTTCCGCAACAAGCACAAAGCCGTTCGCACGAAGGCGATAGGATGAGCTCGTTCGCTCTCGCTCGACGGGATCGCGATAAGAAAAGCACGTAATCCTTTGTCCCGCGAAAATGCATTCGCCGGGCCGAAGCGCATCAAAAGACCGCTCCGGCGCAAGTCGGTACAACGTGATTTACTAAACTAGCTTATCTGTCGCGTTTTCGCGGCGGAAGAACGTCGCGACCGTAAAGGAGGATCGTTTCAAACATCGTC